CAATGGGCGCGCGGCTCTCATGGCGCAGACAGCCGCTGGAGCCGGAGTGCCAAGCCCTCCCTGCCCGAGCCCGAGAGCCTGTCCTCCATGTTTTATAAGTATTGACATAACACTGTGTTAACAATGCATCCACAGAGGTAAGCCTGACTTTTTACCTTCGTTTTTCTCGGACACCTATGAGCTGTGGGTTGAGAGCGTGATTCTCTGTGATTTCTCCTGCAAAACTCACACCCACAGCACTTAGGTTGAGTTGGAGCTGTTTAAAAATTTGCTTTCTTGGGTCACATGGTTAAGTAGCCATTAGCCACAGCTTTATTCTGCAGGCTGGCAAAGCCTTGGCAGACCTACTTCTTCAACAGGAGGATGGTGTTTTTAGAGTTTATCAAGGTCCTGGTATTCCAAGGGAGGTTTGTGTCTCTGAGCAGTTTGCCAGCACTATTGTCTGTGGTGTCACATGCCTGCTGGAGAGAAAATGGAAGCTAGGGAGCAGATGCATTTAACTGCCCTACAGGGAGCCAAGCAGGGATAATGGCAGACAGAAGAACAGGCAAGTTTACCTTTCTAAACAGTGAATGGAACAGCTAAGATAACTTATCTCTGAGAAAATATGGGATTTTTAAAAACCTAGGCATCAGCAAAAAGTGCTAATGGCAGATTGTAGATATTGGGCCTAGGTGGTGGTGTGCTGTTGCATCATGTTTTTTATGCAGCTTATCTTAACTGAAAATGATTATTGAGCTTTTTTTCTTGCAGGAGTAATTAATACAACGCGTTTCTCTTTCTGAGGGACAATGTATGGTTAATATTTTGTTCCTTTAAAAGGGAGTTTTTGTGCTGCAGATTTGGGGAATGGGGTGCTGCTCAGTAAAATGCAGCAGTGCCTCTGTTTACAGATCTGATGCTTTATGGAAAATGTTTTTGAACTGTTAGCTTGCTTGTTTTACATGATTCAAATAAACTAATGTACCTTTTATCTGTGCCTTTTTGTTTTACACTGTATCAGCCACAGTTCTGTGTTGTGGAGTCCAGAAGATATAAAATCATGTGTGGTTCATGACAGTAGTACATGTTGTTCGTTCTTGTTTGTTGTTTTTATTTTTGTCCTTTTTGGTTTTTTTTAACTTTTGGTTTAATGCTGCGTAATTATTTCAAGAAATTCCTTTTTGATCAATTCCCAAATCTGCCAGCCTGTTGTATCTTCTTAACTGGAAAAATGAGATGGGTGCTTGAACAGTTGGTAAGTAAGCAGCATGCTACTCTCTGAACATTTTTTTATAGTTTTCCAAACATTTTATTTTTACTGGGTCAGTTAGTGCAGGAGATGAAGTAATGTTACTGTGGTTAGTCAGATAAAAAATCAGATTTGCTTAGCGTCCATTTTAAGGGACTTGTACATGTAAACTGTTCCATTTGAATGTACTGGGGTTTTTGATAATTTGTCTCTAAAGTTTGAAGCTTATACTTCCTGTTTACCTTAGGCCAGTGAAAAATATTCTGCTGGCTGTTTGTTCATAGATCGTTAATTACCATGTTTGCAGGGCAAGTCGCGTTTTCGCTGTTCCTTGGGCTTTTCAGGTGTGATGAAAGCGCTAGTGCTCAGCAGCGAAGTGACCCTAGGAAGTAAAGTAAATAATGCTTAATGAGCATATGTTTCTGATACTATACAAAGTGTAATCTCAGCCAAACTTGCCTGATTTTTAACGAATTTGGAACATTTTCTGCCCTTTTTAAGATTTGAATTGTGGCGCTTGCACGCTTGTTTGAACAAGCTGTTTCTCAATGATCACCAGTGCTGTTACAAAAGCAGAGAAAGGATGCTCTTTTGTGCTTTTAATGTAATTTTTGCACTTATTTTAGCAGTCCACATCCATGATTTTTTAGGAGAGCTGAGCTCTCTGCTTTGCAAAGCACTGCACTGAGGCACTGAGGCACAGGACATGCTAACTTTCATAGATGCTTGCCATGGATTTGATAATGTTCTGTATCAGCAATTTACCTCTGGTTAGTTGTTTACCAGCGTGAGTATCTTACTTTGAATATCTCACTCTGGTTAACAGCTGCCCCCCCCCTTCCCTCCCCCCTCTCATCTCCCAGGATTAGATTATAAGACTGTCTAGTTCAGTTTGCAACCTGAAACACTGCTGGGGTACCACTGGATTTCATGTCATAGCATTTTTGTATGCAGTTTAAATGCATTTTTCAGCATACATCAAAGTGCTGACGCAGCTAAGAAGTTTTTTTCTGGCTTTTGTTCTTCAGTTGCTAAAACCCCCGGATATTCCATTTGGACATAATTTTCCTAATGGTAGTTTATACACATTAACAGTTTACTTTGAGTCTTTAGGAGTGAGCGACAGAATATTTTTCTAATATGAGGAAGCAGGAGGAAATGCTCTGCAATCAGACAGCTTGTATTAAAATGGCTCCCACAGGTTTTGTTAAACCAGGATCTGTTTCAAATCTGCCCTTCCAGACACTCTGCTGACAGTTGGTGTGCGCTGCCCTCACGCGCGTCTCGCCACGCAGCGTCGTGAGGCTGCGAAAAGGTCACTATTTTTAATCCTGCAAATCTTTTAATTCTTTTATAGTTCACAAAAAAATAAATGTCTGCATTGCAGCAAGATGTCTGAGGCAAGGTAGAGACAGCAGCGTTGTGCTGGGCTCAGCCCAATCGCACTGCTCCCAGGGAGCCGGAGCCAATGGCAGCAGCTGGGAGGTTAAAGATTGACAATTGCAGTGGCAAGGCTGGGAAAGGCCTTCTGGAAATTTCTGCCATCTTTGTTCCATCTAAGTAAAGCAAACTCAGCCAAGCTGAAGAAATTTCCTATATTTTTGCTGCTTTGTCAAGGTGTAATGTTACCACTCGCTTCGCTGCGTTGCATAATAAGCAACACTCCGTGCTGTTGGGTTTTTTTTTCAAATTTTTCTGCTGCTCAGGACAGATGGAACGTGGGGTTTTGTTTAAGTGACAGACACGGGGAAAAAGCATGTGTGCTTTCTCCCCAAGATTTTACTGGGCTGGGTCTTGTTAATATCACAATTAAAAGGACACACATGAGGCAATGTAGCTGAGGTTTGTTCAGCTTGTAGCCATGGCCATTATTCTAATATAACTAGCACTTAATCATATAATTGCACTGTAAGTTTTCTGGCTACTAAAGAGTAATTTGAATTGCCCAGGATGAATATGATTAGCCATTATTATTTAGTGCCAACATCCAGTTACTTTTGTAATTAGCTGGACAAAGAATGCAGTGGGGGGAAAACAAAGGAGTGATCTGGATTATAAATCATGATGAAAACAGTAGCTTTTTAAGAGCTACATGCCTTTTTCATTCTTTGCAGGCAAACTGTTTTAGTTGGAAGCTAAATAGTGCTGGGGAAAAGCTGAGTAATTTCTTTAAACAAATGACACTACTTAACATACTGGGAATGAAAAAAATGCAGAGCATAAACCACTCCAAATGTGGCGTTCCCCTTCCCCCCCCCCATTAGGTAGGAGTGTTGAGATACAGGGGAAAACCTACATTGCTGCTAAGGAACCATGTAATGAAAGGAACTTCATGCTCAGAAGTAATGAATAGGTAGATTACATTACAAATTTAGCCCTTTATTCAGTGTCCACGAACTTCAATTGGCTCTTCTTCCTGAGCTGACTTCCATTTTGTGATATCACTTTTGCTTGAGGCTTTTTGTTGTTGTTGTTGGTTGGGGTTTTTTTTCCTGTTCTTGTTCTTTTGTTTTGGTTTTTGGGTTTTTTTTGCTTTTTGCTTTGTTTTCAAGTGTATTGGCCGTGTGGATCCGGTAGCTGAAAAGTGATAGGTCACGGTCAGTTTTCCATAGTAATGGTGCCACCCCGGCAGAATTGGTTAAAGGGTGATAAATCTCAGTTAAAGGTCTCCTCTTCTCTGTCTGGAATTCAAGGTATTAATTTGAATTTCCTACGTATCTTGAAAGTTGAATATAACCTTTGCTCATGTAGAATGTAGTAGACAGCAATTTTCAAATTCTGTTGTTTGTAGATCCCAAATATTTTCCCCATGGGCACATGAATCCCATTAGAGTGAATTTAAGCCTGTTAGAGCAGGTTTGATTTACTCAGTTATTGTCTGCAAACCCCTTATGGTGGCACAGTGGCTTTTTTTGCAGACTGGAAACCATCAGAGTAGGCCATCAAGCTTGGCCCTTTAAATTGCATTTAGAAAGTATTTTAAATATATTTGCTAATAAACATGTCTTGTATTCATGGGTTAAAGTCTAATTTAGCAATAGCTACATAGGAACTGGGATTCATTTATTTGATAGTTGTGTGTCATTCTTTTGTTAACCCTTTCTTGCCCTTTGTCACAGCATCTGTTTCACACTGGGAGATTAAAACCAAGCTGTAGCAGGATGGTAACATTCCTAATGCAACCAACATAAACCTTGACTTTCAAACATATTTCTTTTCAGATTATATTTTTAGCATCTGAAATCTGTAGCTGTTTGGTTGCCTTGCTTGGGCCTCAGCTGTACAGTGTACAGTCTTAAAGAAGACTGTGTGACAACAAGGAGCTCCCTCCCTCCTTCCCCTGGTTTTTGCTTTTGTACAGCTATTTCGAGTGGACACTGGAGGAGAGTAAAGGTTTAAAAGGAACCTAAATGTTCTTTGAATTAGAAGTAGATTTCCTTTGCTTGCTATCAGAGGTAACTAGTTTAAACATTGCTGTACATACACATCTGAACAAGCCTTTTTTCGTGCATGTTAATTGCTTTACACAAAATGTCATTTGCTTAACGCGAATGGAGCATTTTGCAGGGAATTCTGTAAAAGGAAACATAAAACATGAGGTGCTCAAACTGGTGAGTGAAGCTAAAATGGAGTGATTTCCTTAGTAACCTGTGACTTCACGAATCTCCCTATCTTGTGCCTTTTTAGTGAAACATTTGGATGTCAGGTGTCCTTTTTGTCGCTCTTTGCCATTTCTGCTGTTTAGGTGCTTGCTCTGAGTCTAGCCCTGCTGCTTTACCAGGAGCTGCTGGTATTGAACAAAGTGCTACCATTTTAGCTCCAGAGCAGGGCAGAGACAGTGCAGTGCTGCCAGGCGCCATTTTAGGAGCTCTGCATAAATAGCATAGCTACCGATGAGTAAGAGAC